TTTACCTTAATTATACTTAAGTTCTAAAGAAAATTGGGAAAGATATTTCTGATATGTTATTAATATATGACAAAATTAACTATAGTTTGCCATCCGTCGCCGAAATGATTTGATTTAGACGTCGTAGAATATGGGTTGCGAGACTACAGGACGGGTTCTTAATGACGGTGAAAGCGCAAAAAAATGGAATGTCCGCTATACTTTATTCCTCCCTGCTACCATACCCTAGCTGCTCCCTGTCCCTAGCTGCTCCCTGTCCCTAGCTGCTCCCTGTCCCTAGCTGCTCACCTATTCTGCTCCCCTACGCTGCTCCCCTACCCTGCTCCCCAACCCTAGCTGTTCCCATACCCTGCTCCCCAACCCTAGCTGCTCCCATACCCTGCTCAACTACACCAGCTGTTCCCATACCCTGCTCCGCAACCCTAACCCTAGCTGCTCCCATACCCTGCTCAACTACACCAGCTGTTCCCATACCCTGCTCCCCAACCCAACCTGCTAGCTGCTCCCTACCCTTTCCATACCCTGCTCCGCAACCCTAGCTGTTCCCCAACCTGCTACAACCTAGCTGCTCCCATACCCTGCTCAACTACACCAGCTGTTCCCATACCCTGCTCCCCAACCCTAGCTGTTCCCATACCCTGCTCCCCAACCCTAGCTGTTCCCATACCCTGCTCCCCTACCCTAGCTGTTCCCATACCCTGCTCCACTACACTAGCTGTTCCCATACCCTGCTCCCCAACCCTAGCTGTTCCCATACACTGCTCCACTACACTAGCTGTTCCCATACACTGCTCCACTACACTAGCTGTTCCCATACACTGCTCCACTACACTAGCTGTTCCCATACACTGCTTCCACACACTACTAGCTGTTCCCTAACTGCTCCCATACCCTGCTCCCCAACCCTAGCTGTTCCCATACCCTGCTCCCCAACCCTAGCTGTTTCCACACCCTGCTCCCCAACCCTAACTGCTCCCATACCCCTGCTGCGCTACTCCAACTTCTCCCCCTACCCTACACCCACTCCCCTCTCCCTCAGCAGGGCTAGGTCTGGCTCCCTGTCTACATGGCTTTTTACTGGATTAGATAACTAGCTAGATGGATTCTCTCTGAGCTGAGGAATTTAATATTTTTTTATTTGCATATGTAGGTACATGGGCATTTATGCAACTACCCTAGACTATATGACAGGATTACATGGTGTCACGAGATGCTAAAATTGATGCTAAAAATTCACATTACTTAGGTTATGTCATACAGAGGCAAGTGATCAGTAGCAAACTGGCAAACTCTGGATGTATTATGAGGATGTCTTTTTTTTTTATTAAGATATGAGGTACATCTGCATTAGTGCAGCTACCCTAGACTATGTGAAGTGGAGTACAGTGTGTCAAAAAAAAGCTAACTAGGTGATGCTAAAAAAAAAACATCACACAGGATGGTTAGTCATACAGAGGCATGTGATAAGCAGTCTGCACTAGCAGACTCCGGAAGCATTTTGAGGATATCATCAACACAAGATTGAATAAGGTAGCAGTGGTAATACAAGTCCCCATCTCGCAAAATGGTTAGTCATACAGAGCCATGTGTTTAATAGCCTGCACTGGCAAATTTTGGGTACACTGTGAGAATATCTTCAAGAATACGAGAGTGAATAAAGTAATTGCAAAGCTCCAGGTACCTCATGCCAACTGGTCTGAAAGGTCTAATAACTGGGCATTCAGTGATGTAGTGCGGGAGATCGTGCCGTAGTTCCTGCTCACAGAGTTTGCAACTGGAGTTCTCAGGATTGGGAGACCCGTCACCTGCAGCCACCTGCCACAGGTAACGGTAACCCAACCTGATCCTGGCAACCACTGTGTCGCACTGTCTAGTGGACGTTTTGTGCTGCCCATAGATGTAGGTTTCAGATCTGAACAAATCATAGCTTTTTATACTAGTACTTTCAGATCGTTGGGAGTCAGTAAGTTCTTTCCTATCAGATCTGAATGTTTGGACCAATACAGTTTTGACAGCAGAGATGGGGATACCTAGATCTAATTCAACTTCATCCTTGTTACACGCTAATTTGGCTGCAATGTCTGTCTCATTATGATGGGTTATATTTATGTGTGAAGGTATCCATACAAAGGAGATTCGAGACCCTTTACTCTGTGCATCAATTAGGTCATTTATAATTGGTAGTATGAGGTTCTTGCTGTCGATCTTCCAAGAGAAGTTTTCGATTGCTTGAAAAGCAGACTTTGAATCACAGAATATTATTTCCTCCTCCAATGTTTTTTAATGTACTGGTAGCTAAGTATAATGCTGCTAGTTCTGCTTGTGTGGAGGTCAGCCAGTTGATTAACCTGACACTGACAGTCTTTGTGCAAATATTATTTCTATAAAACCTACATGCCGCTGTAGTCCGTCCAGTAGAGGATTGAACTGAGCCGTCGGTGTAGACACAGTGCTCGTGAGATCTTAAACTCTCGATGGAGGAGGCTCTTGTTTCAAGAGTGACAGCTTTGAGAAGAGCAAGATTCTCATTATCTTTCTTGGTGACAGGTGTGTATGATACTTGAATGGTGGGGTACAGATAAAGAGGAATATCAGACGGGTAGATTGCACTTAAAAGGAATGTTAAGTTTAATGAGATTGTAAGCATTGTTGCCCAGCCTATTATCATAAAAGGAGTGAGTTGGTATGTCGGCACCAGTCAAAAGGGTGTTAACAGCACTAAATAATTTGTCTCTGAGCAATGCAGGAGATGTAGGGTCTCTCATGACTTTAAGGCAAAAAGTGGTGTTGTCTTGCATTATTCTCTCTAGTATGGTTGGAAGCTTCAGTTCTTCCCTCATGTTGATGATTCTTGTGCATCTTGAAGCACCAAGAATTATCCTCATGGCCTCGTTCTGTACTACTTCAAGTTTGTCCAACACAGAGGAGGGGAAATTAATTAAGTGCAGAGCATTATAATCAACGAGAGATCTAACGAACATCATATAGAATAGTCTAGCATATTTAATATTGATACCAATATTCTTACCAGTAAGTGTTCTCAATGGTTTTAGTCTTTCTTTTAACCTATCTTGAGGTTATCTTGAGATGATTTCGGGGCTTTAGTGTCCCCGCGGCCCGGTCCTCGACCAGGCCTCCACCCCCAGGAAGCAGCCCGTGACAGCTGACTAACACCCAGGTACCTATTTTACTGCTAGGTAACAGGGACATAGGGTGAAAGAAACTCTGCCCATTGTTTCTCGCCGGCGCCCGGGATCGAAGCCGGGACCACAGGATCACAAGTCCAGCGTGCTGTCCGCTCGGCCGACCGGCTGACCTACGGTGTAGATCATTTACAATGTCACTGTTAATACCAACTCCAAGATATTTGTGCTACCTACGTTTCAATGTTCAGGTTGTTGACCTTGAAAGTTATAGGGACATGAGTTTTCTCTTGGGGATGGAGGATGTCTTTTTTTTTTTTTTTTTTTATTAAGTTATGAGGTACATCTGCATTAGTGCAGCTACCCTAGACTATATGAAGTGGAGTACAGTGTGTCAAAAAAAGCTAACTAGGTGATGCTATAAAATCCCCATCACACAGGATGGTTAGTCATACAGAGACATGTGATAGGCGGTCTGCACTGGCAGACTCCGGATGCATTTTGAGGATATCAACAACACAAGATTGAATAAGGTAGCAGTGGTAATACAAGTCCCCATCTCGCAGGATGGTTAGTCATACAGGGCCATGTGTTTAATAGCCTGCACTGGCAAATTTTGGGTATACTGTGAGGATATCTTCAAGAATACGAGAGTGAATAAAGTAATTGCAAAGCTCCAGGTACCTCATGCCAACTGGTCTGAAAGGTCTAATAACTGGGCATTCAGTGATGTAGTGCGGGAGATCATGCCGTAGTTCCTGCTCACAGAGTTTGCAACTGGAGTGCTCAGGATTGGGAGACCCGTCACCTGCAGCCACCTGCCACAGGTAACGGTAACCCAACCTGATCCTTGCAACCACTGTGTCGCACTGTCTAGTGGACGTTTTGTGCTGTCCATAGATGTAGGTTTCAGATCTGAACAAATCATAGCTTTTTATACTAGTACTTTCAGGTCGTTGGGAGTCAGTAAGTTCTTTCCTATCAGATCTGAATGTTTGGACCAATACAGTTTTGACAGCAGAGATGGGGATACCTAGATCTAATTCAACTTCAAACTTGTTACACGCTAGTTTGGCTGCAATGTCTGTCTCATTATGATGGGTTATATTTATGTGTGAGGGTATCCATACAAAGGAGATTCGAGACCCTTTACTCTGTGCATCAATTAGGTCATTTATAATTGGGAGTATTAGGTTCTTGCTGTCGATCTTCCAAGAGAAGTTTTCGATTGCTTGAAGAGCAGACTTTGATGTTATTATCTCTTAAGTATTTTACAAAGACTCTGCCATTCCCGTTTGTTTTGGTGTCACCCAGGCTAGTGTGTCTAGCATTAAGATCACCCATTACAATGGTTTGAGAGCTGCTGGTAATTTTTGGGAGAGAAGCTTCCACCATTTGATCACACCTTACATATACATTAACTAAGTTAAGAAACCCGGTCGCTGTAGCAATCTGAAACTGCTGATAATATGAGTTGTCACTTTTGTGGTTTTTAACATGTTTACACACTAGGTTACTTTTAACATACATCAAGATACCGACATCATGGGAACCAACATTTGAGAAAGCTACATAACCTGGGAGTTTGGGTGGCGCATGTCATTATTAAATGTGCGCGAAAGTCTAGGTTACATTCGCACCATATTTCACTAACTCTGCTGTTGCGGTCATTTAGTTTTGTCAGGGTAAAAATAACTTTTTTTGTTTAAGGAGAGACACGTGTATAGTGAGAGGTATAGGAGGTAATGACATATAATTAGAATCTGATTATACAAAAACAGAACACATTTAATTAGGAATATGAGGCAAGACGTATGAACTAATATCGGACGTAACTTGGGCATCTTATTTCCTCAGGCTGGCCGACTGGGCCCCGGGTCTGCACCTTCCACGGACGCCCTAAGGACCTTCCAGCTCAAGGACGGACCCGACTCCCCCCAGGGACCTCTTCTGCATCTTCGGCGTCCCTCCAACGACCTGGACACGCCGCCTGGCACCCACTGGCACTCCCTGCCCGAAGACGAACAGTTATTTGACCCTGTGGCTGTTGAGGTGCGGCCGTTATCCTACTGTCATATCATTGTCATGTCACTGTGGTGTGCCACCTGTCACTGTGGCGAGCCACCTGTCACTGTGGTGTGCCACCTATCACTGTTGCGTGCCACCTGTCACTGTGGCGTGCCACCTGCCACTGTGGTGTGCCACCTGTCACTGTGGCGTGCCACCTATCACTGTGGCGTGCAACCTGTCACTGTGGCGTGCCACCTGTCACTGTGGCGTGCCACCTGTCACTGTGGCGTGCCACCTGTCACTGTGGCGTGCCACCTGCCACTGTGGCGTGCCACCTGTCACTGTGGCGTGCCACCTGTCACTGTGGCGTGCCACCTGTCACTGTGGCGTGCCACCTGTCACTGTGGCGTGCCACCTGTCACTGTGGCGTGCCACCTGTCACTGTGGCGTGCCACCTGTCACTGTGGCGTGCCACCTGTCACTATCTCATAAGTCATATATGTTACACAAGTCTGCTGAGCACATGTCTAGAAGTGTTTAATGAACCACATGAACATCTGTTGTAGCGTCCAGGCGTCCGGCGGGCACCGTGCAGGCGTCCGGCGAGCACCGTGCAGGCGTCCGGCGGGCACCGTGCAGGCGTCCGGCGGGCACCGTGCAGGCGTCCGGCGGGCACCGTGCAGGCGTCCGGCGGGCACCGTGCAGGCGTCCGGCGAGCACCGTGCAGGCGTCCGGCGGGCACCGTGCAGGCGTCCGGCGGGCACCGTGCAGGCGTCCGGCGGGCACCGTGCAGGCGTCCGGCGGGCACCGTCCAGGCGTCCGGCGGGCACCGTCCAGGCGTCCGGCGGGCACCGTGCAGGCGTCCGGAGGGCACCGTGCAGGCGTCCGGCGGGCACCGTGCAGGCGTCCGGAGGGCACCGTGCAGGCGTCCGGCGGGCACCGTCCAGGCGTCCGGCGGGCACCGTCCAGGCGTCCGGTGGGCACCGTCCAGGCGTCCGGTGGGCACCGTCCAGGCGTCCGGCGGGCACCGACCAGGCGTCCGGCGGGCACCGTCCAGGCGTCCGGTGGGCACCGTCCAGGCGTCCGGCGGGCACCGTCCAGGCGTCCGGTGGGCACCGTCCAGGCGTCCGGCGGAAAGCGGAAGTTTTGCAGACACGGCTAATTGTTACCTTTTCCTGAATGTTGTTCAATATTTAGAGTACTGAATGTAATTTTACTCTCGTGTTTCCTCAGGTTCCGGCCGTCTTCCCCAGAGGCCTGCCCGCCTCCTCTCTCCCTCGAGCGCTGCTCCTGGTGGCCGACGCCTCCAGGAACGAGGTGGCAAGAACAGAGGTGGACCTCGGACCTCGCATGGCCCTCCTTGACGTCCTGACGGAGGCCAAGTCTGTGTACGCGCTCAACAACGGTCCCTACAGGCACAATCCCTTCGCTGTCAAACGTATGTTTTCGTATTAGACACATGTTGTTTGATTTTTATGGCTACAATTCTTGCCGTTATTATTATATTTAAAAATTTAAAAAATTAATATTTGGATATATTTAATATATTGCTTTAAATTACTTAATAGTAATAATAAAAATATTTACTTAAAAATATTCAGAGGAACTCAAAACAGTGGTTGAATACGTTGCATCAAATACATACATAATAAGGCCACACGTAGACAAAGCGTTATTGCTGTGTACCATCTGGGAGCTGGTTATAGCCTCCTGGCTCGCCTGGTGATGAGAGGTGGCACTAACCCTCACACCTTCCTCCTCATGGTGGTCATTGATGCAAGGAATAAGAGGAGCGGAAGACTGCAGAAGGCTAACCCTGACCACTGGAAGGTGGCAGGTCTCTAGCGAGCTCAAATATGAGGAAGTGAAGTCTAAATCCACAAGCAGTTTGAAGATTAGATAAGTTAAACAGCAAGAGGGAGAGTGTGTGAATATTGAAATTGGCGACCAGTGCCAGAAACGAAGGGCTCAGAAGCTGTAACACGTTTTGCAAGCACATATAGGAGAGTCCATCTAGTCGAGTACTTACAGACACGCACACGTATACGCACACATGCACAAACAAGCGTACACACACACGCCTACAAAATTCTCAGACGAATTGACAGGGTAGATAAGGATAAACTGTTTACCTCGGGTGGTACGCGAACAAGGGGACACAGGTGGAGACTGAGTACCCAAATGAGCCACAGGGACGTTGGAAAGAACTTTTTCAGTGTCAGAGTAGTTAACAGGAGGAATGCATTGGGCAGTGATGTGGTGGAGGCTGACTCCATACACAGTTTCAAATGTAGATATGATAGAGCCCAGTAGGCTCAGGAACCTGTTCATCAGTTGATTGACGGTTGATAGGCGGGACCAAAGAGCCAGAGCTCAACCCCCGCAAGCACAAATAGGTGAGTACCCACACGCACCGACCCCAACCAAAGAGTCGACTCCCACCTGGACAACATTTGTTCACATCTTCCTCTTAAGACACTGTAAGTAGTCTTCACGTCCACGGAACATTTTTAATCAAGGGATGTTATTCTGGGCGTGAAGGACTCTGTCGAGAAGCAAATGCCGAAGCCATTTCCAAAGTGGCGACGACGCTCCAACCCGACGAGGTAATTTGCTCTGGATAAAAGGCTACGTAATGGCGCCAAGCGGAAGGCGACACACCATTACAAATTGAAAAATGGCATTTAATAATCATTTTCCTGTTCGAAAAACACAATAGAACGCGTTTCGTTTTTAATCATTATTCCCCTTGATAGAAAAAAAGCATATTGTCCTGAATTTAATATTTCCATATTTGAAAGAGAGATTCCGTAAAGCCTGATCCTTCATGTTAAATGTTAAAGTGTCCGCCTCAGTGTGCTGCCTTCCTCTAACTCTCCCTTCACTGACAAAATAATTAATTTCGTACACTTTTGTTATAAGGATGTAGAGTTATCTGGAAAATATTCTCAATTAGAGTCCTCAAAACTTTAAGGTGCAAATGACATTGATTCCCGTCTATTGACTTCAATATTTCCCAGATGTGACCTTTTCTAACTTTCAGAGCGACGTCCCAACAACAGACTAACATAACATTCATCTTAATAAGTCTTAAAAAGATATCTTGCCAATAACAGACTTCGATAACAGCATGGCAATAATCACTGAAGAAACACATTCACCGTCGTTCTCATCAACGCTTCACGAAAAACACAAACACAGTTTTTGTTGTAAGAAGATCACATGACAACCGTAACAAGGCGGAAATTGTCGCCGACGGATTTGGCACTGTCGACCTTACCGCTTGGTGCACTTAGCAGTGTCTTGTGGTGGGTTGGCGGGTCGGGTGATCAGCCGGTGACCCTGGGGACCAGTAATGGCGGCCGTTGATAGTTGCTGCCAACATTATTGTCTCTGATTGTTGACACCCCATTACTCAACCCGCTCCCCCCCCCACTCCCTCAACCCTCCCCCACGCCACCACCTCACTCGCCTCCATCCCAATCTCTCCTCTACATTCTTCTTCGCCAAACATCGCCTTCCTTAACCATACTATTAATTCACTGTCCCATAACCCTCTGTCTGCCTCCGTCTCTAACACACACACACACACACACACACACACACACACACACACACACACACACACACACACACACACACACACACACACACACAAATGGAATGCATTAGGGGGTGATGTGGTGGAGGCTGACTCCATACACAGTTTCAAGTGTAGATATGACAGAGCCCGATAGGCTCAGGAATCTGTACACCTGTTGATTGACGGTTGAGAGGCGGGACCAAAGAGCCAGAGCTCAACCCCCGCAAACACAACTAGGTGAGTACAACTAGGTGAGTACACACTCTCTCTCTCTCTCTCTCTCTCTCTCTCTCTCTCTCTCTCTCTCTCTCTCTCTCTCTCTCTCTCTCTCTCTCTCTCTCTCTCTCTCTCTCTCTCTCTCTCTCACCCTCCCTCCCTCCCTCTCCTCGTTCCCTAACTCTCCGGAAGCTGCCACGTCTCATTTCCGGTTCCTTCATTTGCATGCTCCCGTGGCAGACTTGTTCAGCGTCTGTTACAAGTTTACAAGAATTCTTGACACTTTTCTTATTGTTGTTAAAGCTGACTCAATCTTTTGGGCCTCCGTCTACACCGTCGAGAAGGTGTCCATGGTCGCGAACAGTTGCATTGGCGTGTAAGTCAAAAGATCGTACACTATAAAATAAGTTTACAGTGAGAAGGACCCAGGCATTCATGTACGCACGCAAAAAGCGCGCGCGCACACAAACAGGGTGCTGCTATCGGCGAGCGTCCACCGACCCGTTAATGGTCACTATAAATATACATATTACCCAGTCGTTAGTAAGGAGAACAACGCAGGTCGTTGCCAGTGGTGCGTGGGTAACGCTGTAGGGTGTTGGGTAAGACGCTGGGGACAGCACCACGCGGACAAGACTTGCGGAATACATCTGGTAGACATGACATGTTCGTGGGGAGGAGCTGTTTGTATGTAATAATATATATCTCATTGGCTCCCTCGCCCCAGCCTGGCCTAACCAACTCATCTTGGTTACCTCCTCAGCACGTCGACTGGAGACGGAGATGTGTCTAGGCCTTCATAGTGTAGGACACATTAGAGCATCACCCTCCCGCCCCATCGTCCTCTCCGTGACCAGGACACGCCCACTAGAGCAGGTAAGGCTGCCGCAGAGGCTCTACACTTACCACTAGAGTAGAAGTCACCGAGAGAGGGACTCGACGGTGGGGAAAGGTAACCTAAACTCCTGTAGCCTGTAATGTAATTTTTAATTTCGTTTGTATGTAACTTTTAAACTGTAAAATGGTTATGGTGAGCGTTGAGCCGGAGGATGGGACGTTACCGTGGCCCAGAGCTCCACATGGTGGCGCGGCCGGCTACCTCCCCGCCTCCACCATGAACCATGCTTCTGAACGGCACCCGTCATGCCCAGTGTTCATGGCGGGTCCTCACACCCCCACTCAAGCGCTGATGGATGGGGTGTTAATGGAGCCCTTGTGGGCGCTGTCTCACAGCTTCACGGTGCTCTGTCTGCGAGATGAAATGAGGGATTTACCAGTGTCTGGTATGTTTGTCTTGTGTGTGGGAGGGATGAGTGTGTGTGTGTGTGGGAGGGATGAGTGTGTGTGTGGGAGGAATGAGTTTGTGTGTGTGTGTGGGAGGGATGAGTGTGTGTGTGTGTGTGTGTGGGAGGGATGAGTGTGTGTGTGTGGGAGGGATGAGTGTGTGTGTGGGAGGAATGAGTTTGTGTGTGTGTGTGGGAGGGATGAGTGTGTGTGTGTGTGTGTGGGAGGGATGAGTGTGTGTGTGGGAGGAATGAGTTTGTGTGTGTGTGTGGGAAGGATGTGTGTGTGTGTGTGTGTGGGAGGTATGAGTTTGTGTGTGTGTGTGGGAGGGATGAGTGTGTGTGTGTGTGTGGGAGGGATGAGTGTGTGTGTGTGTGTGTGTATGTGTGTGTGTGTGGGAGGGATGAGTGTGTGTGTGTATGTGTGTGTGGGAGGGATGAGTGTGTGTGGGAGGGATGAGTGTGTGTGGGAGGGATTAGAGAGTGGGGAGTTGTATTCACCTAGTTGTGCTTGCTGGGGTTGAGCTCTGCTCCTTCGGCCCGCCTCTCAAATGTCAATCAGCGATCATTTTTTTATCAGACACAGTTGAGGGTTGTGAGGGAGGTGCAGGGGAAGGACGGGTGTAGACAGTGTCAGAGACAGGGGGAAGGAGGGGTGTAGACAGTGTCAGAGACAGGGGGCAAGGAGGGGTGTAGACAGAGACAGAGACAGGGGGAAGGAGGGGTGTAGACAGTGTCAGAGACAGGGGGGAAGGAGGGGTGTAGACAGAGACAGAGACAGGGGGAAGGAGGGGTGTAGACAGTGTCAGAGACAGGGGGGAAGGAGGGGTGTAGACAGAGACAGAGACAGGGGGAAGGAGGGGTGTAGACAGTGTCAGAGACAGGGGGGAAGGAGGGGTGTAGACAGAGACACAGACAGGGGGAAGGAGGGGTGTAGACAGTGTCAGAGACAGGGGGGAAGGAGGGGTGTAGACAGAGACACAGACAGGGGGAAGGAGGGGTGTAGACAGTGTCAGAGACAGGGGGGAAGAAGGGGTGTAGACAGAGACACAGACAGGGGGAAGGAGGGGTGTAGACAGTGTCAGAGACAGGGCGGAAGGAGGGGTGTAGACAGAGACAGAGACAGGGGGAAGGAGGGGTGTAGACAGTGTCAGAGACAGGGGGGAAGGAGGGGTGTAGACAGAGACAGAGACAGGGGGAAGGAGGGGTGTAGACAGTGTCAGAGACAGGGGGAAGGAGGGGTGTAGACAGAGACAGACACAGGGGGAAGGAGGGGTGTAGACAGAGACAGAGACAGGGGGAAGGAGGGGTGTAGACAGAGACAGGGGGAAGGAGGGGTGTAGACAGTGTCAGAGACAGGGGGGAAGGAGGGGTGTAGACAGAGACAGGGGGGAAGGAGGGGTGTAGACAGAGACAGGGGGAAGGAGGGGTGTAGACAGTGTCAGAGACAGGGGGGAAGGAGGGGTGTAGACAGAGACAGGGGGAAGGAGGGGTGTAGACAGTGTCAGAGACAGGGGGAAGGAGGGGTGTAGACAGAGACAGGGGGAAGGAGGGGTGTAGACAGAGACAGGGGGAAGAAGTGGTGTAGACAGAGACAGGGGGAAGGAGGGGTGTAGACAGAGACAGGGGGAAGGAGGGGTGTAGACAGTGTCAGAGACAGGGGGAAGGAGGGGTGTAGACAGTGTCAGAGACAGGGGGAAGGAGGGGTGTAGACAGTGTCAGAGACAGGGGGAAGGAGGGGTGTAGACAGAGACAGGGGGAAGGAGGGGTGTAGACAGAGACAGAGACAGAGACAGGGGGAAGGAGGGGTGTAGACAGAGACAGAGACAGAGACAGGGGGAAGGAGGGGTGTAGACAGAGACAGAGACAGAGACAGGGGGAAGGAGGGGTGTAGACAGAGACAGAGACAGGGGGAAGGAGGGGTGTAGACAGAGACAGAGACAGGGGGAATGAAGGGTGTAGACAGTGTCAGAGACAGGGGGAAGGAGTGGTGTAGACAGAGACAGAGGCAGGGGGGAAGGAGGGGTGTAGACAGAGCCAGAGACAGGGGAAGGAAGGGTGTAGACAGTGTCAGAGACAGGGGGAAGGAGGGGTGTAGACAGAGACAGGGGGAAGGAGGGGTGTAGACAGAGACAGGGGGAAGGAGGGGTGTAGACAGAGACAGAGACAGGGGGAAGGAGGGGTGTAGACAGTGTCAGAGACAGGGGGAAGGAGTGGTGTAGACAGAGACAGGGGGAAGGAGGGGTGTAGACAGAGACAGGGGGAAGGAGGGGTGTAGACAGAGACAGGGGGAAGGAGTGGTGTAGACAGAGACAGGGGGAAGAAGGGGTGTAGACAGAGACAGGGGAAGAAGTGGTGTAGACAGAGACAGGGGGAAGAAGTGGTGTAGACAGAGACAGGGGGAAGGAGGGGTGTAGACAGAGACAGGGGGAAGGAGGGGTGTAGACAGAGACAGGGGGAAGGAGGGGTGTAGACAGAGACAGGGGGAAGAAGTGGTGTAGACAGAGACAGGGGGAAGGAGGGGTGTAGACAGAGACAGAGACAGGGGGAAGGAGGGGTGTAGACAGAGACAGAGACAGGGGGAAGGAGGGGTGTAGACAGAGACAGAGACAGGGGGAATGAAGGGTGTAGACAGTGTCAGAGACAGGGGGAAGGAGTGGTGTAGACAGAGACAGGGGGAAGGAGGGGTGTAGACAGAGACAGGGGGAAGGAGGGGTGTAGACAGAGACAGGGGAAGGAGGGGTGTAGACAGAGACAGGGGGAAGGAGGGGTGTAGACAGAGACAGAGACAGGGGGAAGGAGGGGTGTAGACAGATACAGAGACAGGGGGAAGGAGGGTGTAGACAGATACAGAGACAGGGGGAAGGAGGGGTGTAGACAGAGACAGAGACAGGGGGAAGGAGGGGTGTAGACAGAGACAGGGGGAAGGAGGGGTGTAGACAGAGACAGAGACAGGGGGAAGGAGGGGTGTAGACAGAGACAGAATAGTTAACAAAACTGGTAAACAGTTAAGAGGAGAGGAAAATATAATCTACGTATTAACAAGATTTTTAGTAGTTTAGTGGTGGTGGTGTAAAGTTATTACGAGCCAAGATAAGGGCAGAGAGGTGTAGGTTATCTTACCAGCCAGATAACGAATTTACCAAGTTTATCATTCAACCTGGATAGCAGGTTGTGAGAGGTGGTCAGACTACCTCACTAGTACGATAGCAGACTGTAGAAGCAGAGTGACAGGCAGGCTATCGCCTTATGAAGCAGAGTGACAGGCAGGCTATCGCCTTATGAAGCAGACTGAAGTACAGATATTGCAGGACCTCTCACTGACCTGCTGCAACGATACCCACGCTCCCCCACCCATGCTCAACACCCCACCCTGCCCACACCCACGCTCTCACCTCCCCACACTTACGCTCCCACCACCCCACACCCACGCTCCCACCTCCCAACACTCACGCTCCCACCACCCCACTCCTACGCTCCCCACACCCACACCCACGCTCCCACCACCCCACACACCCACGCTCCCACACCCACACCCACGCTCCTACCACCCCACACCCACCCTCCCACACCCACACCCACGCTCCCACCACCCCACACCCACGCTCCCACCACCCCACACCCACGCTCCCACCACCCCACACCTACGCTCCCACACCCACACCCACGCTCCCACCACCCCACACCCACGCTCCCACACCCACACCCCACGCTCCCACCACCCCCCACCCACCCTCCCACACCCACACCCACGCTCCCACCACCCCACACCCACGCTCCCACCACCCCACACCCACGCTCCCACCACCCCACACCCACGCTCCCACACCCACACCCACGCTCCCACCACCCCACACCCACGCTCCCACACCCACACCCACGCTCCCACCACCCCACACCCACGCTCCCACACCCACACCCACGCTCCCACCACCCCACACCCACGCTCCCACACCCACACCCACGCTCCCCACCTCCCCACTCCCACGCTCCCACCACCCCACACCCACGCTCCCACCACCCCACACCCACGCTCCCACCACCCCACACCCACGCTCCCACACCCACGCTCCCACCACCCCACTCCCACGCTCCCACCACCCCACACCCACGCTCCCACCACCCCACACCCACGCTCCCACACCCACGCTCCCACCACCCCACACCCACGCTCCCACACCCACGCTCCCACCACCCCACACCCACGCTCCCACACCCACGCTCCCACCACCCCACACCCACGCTCCCACACCCACGCTCCCACCACCCACACCCACGCTCCCACCTCCCCACTCCCACGCTCCCACACCCACACCCACGCTCCCAACACCCCACACCCACGCTCCCACCACCCCACACCCACGCTCCCACACCCACACCCACGCTCCCACCACCCCCCACACCCACGCTCCCACACCCACGCTCCCACCACCCCACACCCACGCTCCCACACCCACGCTCCCACCACCCCCACACCCACGCTCCCACCTCCCCACTCCCACGCTCCCACACCCACACCCACGCTCCCACCACCCCACACCCACGCTCCAACCACCTCACACCCACGCTCCCACACCCACACCCACGCTCCCACACCCACACCCACGCTCACCACCACCCCACACCCACGCTCCCACCACCCCACACCTACGCTCCCACCACCCCACACCCACGCTCCCACCACCCCACACCCACGCTCCCACCACCCCACACCCCACGCTCCCACACCCACACACCCACGCTCCCACACCCACACCCACGCTCCCACCACCCTACACCCACGCTCCCACACCCACGTTCCCACCACCCCCACCCACGCTCCCACACCCACGCTCCCACCACCCCACTCCCACGCTCCCACCACCCCACACCCACGCTCCCACCTCCCCACTCCCACGCTCCCACCACCCCACACCCACGCTCCCACACCCACACCCACGCTCCCACCACCCCACACCCACGCTCCCACACCCACACCCACGCTCCCACACCCACACCTACGCTCCCACACCCACACCCACGCTCCCCCCACCCCACACCCACGCTCCCACACCCACGCTTCCACACCCACACCCACGCTCCCACACCCACACCCACGCTCCCACCACCCCACACCCACGCTCCCACACCCACGCTTCCACACCCACACCCACGCTCCCACACCCCACACCCACGCTCCCACCACCCCACACCCACGCTCCCACACCCACACCCACACCCACGCTCCCACACCCACGCTCCCACACCCACACCCACGCTCCCACACCCACGCTCCCACCACCCCACACCCACACCCACGCTCCCACACCCACGCTCCCACACCCCACACCCACGCTCCCACCACCCCACACCCACGCTCCCACACCCACGCTTCCACACCCACACCCACGCTCCCACACCCACACCCACGCTCCCATACTCACACTCTCCCATTAATACAATATACCCCCCCCCCATTTCCCCCGACTTCCGGTTGATACACAATAGCAGAGTTGTCCAGGTCGATTTGTGCGGGTTTGTTCTCCTGAGTGGTTGTGTGCGTGTGTACGCGCTCACGCCCGTGCTCGCTTCCATAGTTCTAATTTTTTTAAATACATTAAAATCTAAATCTTGTTCCACTCCCCCCCCCCTTCCCATGTGTGGTCCCTCTCCCCATGTGTGGTCCCTCTCCCCATGTGTGATCCCTCTCCCCATGTGTGGTCCCTATCCCCATGTGTGATCCCTCTCCCCATGTGTGGTCCCTCGTCCTGGTCCCTCTCCCCATGTGTGGTCCCTCGTCCTGGTCCCTCTCCCCATGTGTGGTCCCTCTCCCCATGTGTGATCCCTCTCCCCATGTGTGGTCCCTCGTCCTGGTCCCTCTCCCCATGTGTGGTCCCTCTCCCCATGTGTGGTCCCTCTCCCCATGTGTGGTCCCTCTCCCCATGTGTGGTCCCTCTCCCCATGTGTGATCCCTCTCCCCATGTGTGGTCCCTCGTCCTGGTCCCTCTCCCCATGTGTGGTCCCTCTCCCCATGTGTGGTCCCTCTCCCCATGTGTGGTCCCTCTCCCCATGTGTGGTCCCTCTCCCCATGTGTGGTCCCTCTCCCCATGTGTGGTCCCTCTCCCCATGTGTGGTCCCCTCTCCCCATGTGTGGTCCCTCTCCCCATGTGTGGTTCCCTCTCCCCATGTGTGGTCCCTCTCCCCATGTGTGGTTCCTCTCCCCATGTGTGTCCCTCACCCCATGTGTGGTCCCTCACCCCATGTGTGGTCCCTCACCCCTCTCCCCATGTGTGGTCCCTCTCCCCATGTGTGGTCCCTCTCCCCATGTGTGGTCCCTCTCCCCATGTGTGGTCCCTCACCCCATGTGTGGTCCCTCTCCCCATGTGTGGTCCCTCTCCCCATGTGTGGTCCCTCTCCCCATGTGTGGTCCCTCTCCCCATGTGTGGTCCCTCTCCCATGTGTGGTCCCTCTCCCCATGTGTGGTCCCTCTCCCCATGTGTGGTCCCTCTCCCCATGTGTGGTCCCTCTCCCCATGTGTGGTCCCCCCTCTCCCCATGTGTGGTTCCTCTCCCCATGTGAGGTCCCTCTCCCCATGTGTGGTCCTCTCCCATGTGTGGTCCCTCTCCCCATGTGTGGTCCCTCTCCCCATGTGGTCCCTCTCCCCATGTGTGGTCCCTCTCCCCATGTGTGGTCCCTCACCACATGTGTGATCCCTCTCCCCATGTGTGGTCCCTCTCCCCATGTGTGGTTCCTCTCCCCATGTGTGGTCCCTCTCCCCATGTGTGGTCCCTCTCCCCATGTGTGGTTCCTCTCCCCATGTGAGGTCCCTCTCCCCATGTGTGGTCCCTCTCCCCATGTGTGGTCCCTCTCCCCATGTGTGGTTCCTCACCCCATGTGTGGTCCCTCACCCCATGTGTGGTCCATCTCCCCATGTGTGGTCCGTCTCCCTATGTGAAGTCCCTCGTCCTGGTCCCTCTCCCCATGTGGGTTATCTCTCCCAATGTGTATGTACTCACCTAGTTGTGTTTGCGGGGGTTGAGCTTTGGCTCTTTGGTCCCGCCTCTCAACTGTCAATCAACTGGTGTACAGGTTCCTGAGCCTTCTGGGCTCTATCATATCTACATTTGTAACTGTGTATGGAGTCAGCTTCCACCACATCACTGCCTAATGCATTCCATCTGAATTGCTCTGACACTGAAAACGTTCTTTAGAACGTCCCTGTGGCTCATTTAGGTAAGCATTATATGATGCTTACATTATATATGATTCGTCATTTGATTCATCATTATCGTTCAGACAAACACGACTGTAGTTTGATTTAAAATAAGAAACATTAAATGCAGATTTATCCTAATTACAAATTAAGACAACTCTGCATTTAATTATAAAAATGTATGTTAGGAAATAATATTACAGTAATTCAGAGAGCGAAATAAATGTGTGCTTAGAAGTGCACAAAGTCGTTTGTCTTGTATATTGCCAAAATTGGACATATAAGATGACTTGTCACCTTCCCGCAGCTGGTGTGGGAGTCCGTCTGCCTGCCGCGCGCCTCGGAGCTCCTGGTGCGCCCCGGAGACGTCATCGTACTGGCACCGCGTTGACTCCACCCCGCTGCCTGACGCAAGACATCCACGCCGTGAGGGGTACCATCTGTAGAGGGGGGGAGGGGGAAGGGAATTATCAGGGGAAAGCGAGGAGGGGGCAATTGACACCTGTAAGACACAACAGAAGGGTTGATCTGTTTCAGAACTTTGGTTGGGATGTATTCGAGTGGATGAAATGTTTATCCTCTTGTTTCATAATGTGGAAGTGATTTAGCTGCCTTGTTTGACGGAGGGTTGGTGGGGTTGATGGGGTTAGTCTGTAATTTGACACACTACTTACTTACAAAAAGTTAAAAGTTCTGTAAATTGTATGCCAAATTATATCATGCTTAACAGCGATACTTTGTTTCATTGTTGCCTGTTATCGCTACACAACTGGAGACATTGTGGACAATACGTGCAAAACCTGACCTACCAGCACTACCACGGTGTTGCCGGCCCCCACACCTGCCACTACGGTGTTGCCGGCCCCCACACCTGCCACCACGGTGTTGCCGGCCCCCACACCTGCCACTACGGTGTTGCCGGCCCCCACACCTGCCGCCACGGTGTTGCCGGCCCCCACACCTGCCCCCACGGTGTTGCCGGCCACCACACCTGCCCCCACGGTGTTTCTGGCCCCCTACACCTGCCACCACGGTGTTGCCGGCCACCACACCTGCCCCCACTGGTGTTTCTGGCCCCCTACACCTGCCCCCACGGTGTTGCCGGCCACCCACCTGCCACTACGGTGTTGCCGGCCCCCACAACTGTCACAACGGTGTTGCCGGCCCCCACACCTGTCACCACGGTGTTGCCGGCCCCCACACCTGCCACTACGGTGTTGCCGGCCCCCACACCTGCCGCCACGGTGTTGCCGGCCACCACACCTGCCCCCACGGTGTTGCCGGCCACCACACCTGCCCCCACGGTGTTTCTGGCCCCCTACACCTGCCCCCACGGTGTTGCCGGCCCCCTACACCTGCCACCACGGTGTTGCCGGCCCCCACGGTGTTGCCGGCCACCACACACCTGCCCACCACGGTGTTGCCGGTGTTGCCGGCCACCACACCTGCCACTACGGTGTTGCCGGCCCCCACACCTGCCACCACGGTGTTGCCGGCCCCCACACCTGCCCCCACGGTGTTGCCGGCCACCACACCTGCCCCCACGGTGTTTCTGGCCCCCACACCTGCCACCACGGTGTTGCCGGCACATCTGCCCCCACATCTGCCCCCACGGTGTTTCTGGCCCCCCACACCTGCCACCACGGTGTTGTCGGCCACCACACCTGCCACCACGGTGTTGCCGGCCCCCACACCTGCCACTACGGTGTTGTCGGCCACCACACCTGCCCCCACGGTGTTGCCGGCCACCACACCTGCCACCACGGTGTTGCCGGCCCCCACACCTGCCACTACGGTGTTGTCGGCCACCTGCCCACACGGTGCTGTCCCCCACGGTGTTGTCGGCCACCACACCTGCCACTACGGTGTTGTCGGCACGGTGTTGTCGGCCACCACACCTGCCACTACGGTGTTGTCGGCCACCACGGTGTTGTCGGCCACTACGGTGTGTGTCGGCCCCACGGTGTTGTCGGCCACTACGGTGTTGTCGCCACCACACCTGGCACTACGCCACCACACCTGCCACTACGGTGTTGTCAGCCACTACACCTGCCCCCACGGTGTTGTCGGCCACTACGGTGTTGTCGCCACCACACCTGCCACTACGGTGTTGTCGGCCACTACACCTGCCACTACGGTGTTGTCGGCCACTACACCTGCCACTACGGTGTTGTCGGCCACCACACCTGCCACTACGGTGTTGTCGGCCACCACACCTGCCACTACGGTGTTGTCGGCCACCACACCTGCCCCCACGGTGTTGTCGGCCACCACACCTGCCCCCACGGTGTTGTCGGCCACTACGGTGTTGTCGGCCACCACACCTGCCACTACGGTGTTGTCGGCCACTACACCTGCCACTACGGTGTTGTCGGCCACTACACCTGCCACTACGGTGTTGTCGGCCACCACACCTGCCACTACGGTGTTGTCGGCCACTACGGTGTTGTCGGCCCCCACACCTGCCACCACGGTGTTGCCTGCCCCCACACCTGTCCTCATTTTGGACAGAGCCTTGAGGCACTCCACTTACAACATTATCCCACTCTGACTTAACCCCATTTATACTAACCCTCTGTTTCCTTTGGAATAGCCATGCCCTAATCCAACTTGATATAGCACCCCCAATACCATGAGCCTCTATCTTTTTAATCAGTCTTTCATATAGCACTGTATCAAGTAAGTAATTATCAAAAGAAGGCACCAAACTGGGAAGGCTATGTAGCACCATCAAATGTGCAGAATAATCAGAGGGCGCTAAATATCACCAAGGATGCCAATACGAGAACAGAAACGCATAAAGTGAATGATATCAAAAGTATCCGATTCACCAAAAATTTTACCGAGGGACATGTGACCATGAGGGACGGTCGGAAAACAAGACACACACTCGTACTGGGAGTCAGGACATTCAACAAAGATATGCATGACGGTAAGAGGGACAATGCAATTTGGACAATATGGAGAAGGGCGGTGCTCCGTTAAGTGACCGTGAGTTAAGTGAGTATTGCCAATACACAGCCTTGCCAGAGCCGTTTCCCACCGCCGGTTACGGTGGTAGGAGGAAGGCGATGGGGACACACTGCGCTTCAGAGTACACAGTTTGTTTCCAACTACAGAAGACCAACAACCCTGCCATCGGGAAAGGAGGGAGGAATGAATAACCGGGTTAGAGTCGGAATAAGGAATACCTTTACGAGAAACAGGACAAGAGCGGATAGCCTCTCTAGCGACAGCATCCACACGCTCATTTAAAGAAACACCTATATGGCTTTGAACCCAGCAAAACCCTATGGATTTAAATTTACTAGATATAAGAAACAGCCAATGTTTAATCTCCGCTATCCGGATGGACTGGATTAAAGGACCCAAGAGCCATGAGGGCACTACGAGAGTCAACGAGAACCACAAAGGAGGATTTACAACGAGAAAGCAGGAGACGGAGAGTATAGAGAATAGCATAAAGTTCCGCAGTGAAGATGCTAGCCTCTGGAGGTAGGCGAGACATAAGTATGGTCAAGGAAAAAAACAGAGTAGCCCACACTGTCCACAGACTTAGACTCAACAGTGAAGATGGAAACAGAGCGGGAGTGTGAAGAAAAGTGCTCAAGTAAAAAAAAGGCGTTTCAGAACCGTAGGAGGGGTAAAAGCTTTAGTAATTCCGGTCAAGGATGTACAAAACTTCGGAAAGGAGACCCTCCACCGGGGCAAGGAAGTAACAATACGAGGAGATATGTGAGAAAGACGAACTGAAAGAGAGTCCTGTAAGCGAAAAAGCCGGACAGAAAGAGGGAGGTGGTGAAGAGGAACAGGAACTACAGGAGGGGTAAAAGTCAAAGCACCACTGAGACGAGAGGAAGGATGTTGCAAGGACCGCACAAGGTAGTGAAGACAGTAGCGATCACGGCGGTCCTAGAGAGATAGGAAGCCAGAGTCAACATACAAGCTGAGGACGGGAGTCGAACGAAAGGCACCAGAACTGAGGCGCAACCCAGTATGGTGCAAAGCATCAAGACGGAGAAGAGTAAAAGGAGAAGCAGACGAGTAAGCAGGGCAACTATAATCGAATTTAGACAGGACGAGAGAGGAATGTAAAGAGAGGAGCGTGCGCCTATCTGCCCCCCAAGAAGTATGGGACAAAACCTTAAGGAGGGAAAGGGCCTTAGAGCATTCAACTCGCAGGTAAGAGATATGGGCCGACCAAGACAAATAAGTGTCAAAAATTAACCCCTAAAGCTTCGTGGAATCCGTGTACACAAGGGGATGAACATAAAGCAACAAAGAGGGACGAAGAATGGCATTCTTCCGAGTAAAAGTCAAAGCACAAGTCTTAGACGTAGAGACTCTGAAGCCATTATTGGTGGCCCAAGACGACATGGCATCAATCGCAAGTTGAAGCCGCTGTTGAAGGAGAGGCGAATCATCACCCTGACAGCAAAGGGTAAGATCGTGGACATAGAAAGCGGAGAAGACGTCAGAAGGAAGGGAGGAAAGAAGACCATTGAGGGCAACAAGAAAAAGAGTAGTTCTCAGAACACTACCTTGGGGTACACCCTTGTATTGCTGAAAAGAGGCAGAGAGAGTGGTACCAAGCCTCACTCGAAAGGAACAACGAGAGAGGAAACTCTGGAGGAAGAGAGGGAGATTCCCACAAACGCCAAAGTAAGTAAAACACGTACAACTGTTTGAAGTTGGGACAGAATATGATACTACCAGGTAGTGTTGTAAGCCTTTCCCAGGTCAAAAAGAACGGCAACAACGGAGATCTTCGCAGCAAAAGCAGTACGAATATAGACCTCCAAGTCACCAGGACATCCGTTGCGCTGCGGCACTTGCGAAAACCAAGTTCACAAGGGAAGAGGTGGTGATAGTGTTCTAAGAACCACATCAGACGAATGTTAACCATACGTTCAAACAGTTTGCAGACACAACTCGTGAGGGCAATAGAGCGAAAGTGTTTAGGGGGATTTTCCCAGAGACCCCGGTTTGCGAACAAGGATTACAACGGCATCGAGCCAGTCCTCAGGGATTGACGACGACTCCAAAACCCGATTATACAGACTCAGTAAATACTGAGACATGTACGGAGGGAGATGGTGAAGCATCTCATAATGAATACCATCGGAGCCCGCCGCCGTTGAACCGCAGACGGCCAGGGCAGACTGAAGTTCAGAGAGAGAGAAGGGATCATTATAGGGACGTCGGAGATGGGTTTAGAAATCCAAAGGACAAGATTCAACAACAAGTTTAGGAAGAAGGAAAGAATGAGGAAGATAAGAACCATAACTATCAGAAGAAAAGTGGGAACCCAGCTCGGTCGCGACCTGCAACGGGTCCGCCACAAGAGTACCACGGAGGTGATGGACCGGTGAAACATCGGGAACGAACTTACCCGCTATCTTGCGGATACAGATAAGTGTTAAATCATTGAGGAGATTCG